TATATATATATATATATATATATATATATATAATATACGAGAGGAAGGGGGAGAAAGTCATGTGAATGTGTGTGTATTTATATCTTGAAGTGTGATAATGTGCGAGTATGAGTATGTAAGAGTGTGTGTGTTAGTGTGGAAGTATGTGTGTGTTTCAATGCATGCTTATGAGTAAATGAATAAAAAAAAGTTGTATGTGCATGTTCCAATGTGAATAACCCATGAGTTTATGTGATATTTAAATGCAACTTGATATATATATATATATATATATATAATACTACTTATTAAAATAGATACATAACAAAAACAAACATAAATATGGGTCACACAGAGTAAAGACTGGGAACGTCTGACTGATGACGTTAAACCAAGTGCTTTCTGGGAGGTGATGCGGGTGGACTTAGTGTGTTATTTTTATAAATATTTTTTAATATTACAAAATACACATGACAGATACAATAGTAAATATGCAATTTAATCCCAACAAAAATAACTTTAGTGAAAATAGTTTAATTGCTTTTTTTTTAAAATCTTAAAACTGCCAAATCCCCTAAAAAAATGCAAGTGTACGTATCACTCAATTAATAAGGAATACTAACAAAGTCTTAGATATCAATCTTATAGAGAAGGACTAAATGCTTATAAGTAAATTCTTATGATTATAATGTAAACTACAATTTTAAACTACAATAGTGAAGTACAAAATTAAAATCTATACTAAATGAGTGAATGTTAAATAAAATGCAGTTAAATGAATAAGTTAATTAAACTAATTGCTAAACTTTCAAAAGTAAAATTACAAAAAAAAAATAAAGTTTTTGTAACATAGAGTTCAAATTTAAGAGTTCAAATGGAAGAAAGCATCTTTCCCCTTTACAATAAGTATATGGATTGTAAAGATATTAAAATCATTCAAATATATATATATATATATATATAAAGGAGTGACAGAGACTCCCTACATGTTAAATTGAAATAAGGTTACAAAGCTATACATGGCTTGGTTCACAGACAAAACTCAAGGATCACCCAAAAGGGGGCAAAGCCTCCCAAGAGAAAACAAAATACCAATGCAACCTATCAAAAAACCTGTCCCCAAACAATAGGGCTGAAAAGAAGAAGGAAATGAGACATAACAAAACAGTAAGGACTTAGGAAACAAAAGCCCTCTCTAGATTAGACAGGATGGTTAGATTAAACATCAGTGGACATCCCCCTTCTAATATAAGACAGATCAGAGAGATTTGCTCTAACCAACCAAGCCAGCTCCACAATCGGTAGGAAAGTCCTATGGCTAGACCTAGGCTACTAAAGAAATTTCTAGACCTCAACCAAAAGTGAGGTCAAGAAGCACATCTGTTGCCCTCCCTGAAAATATGCTTCCTGATAATCTGAAGGTTGTGAGTCAACTTCATGTGAGTGATTTTCTTCACAGCATGTAGAAGAAACCAAGGTGGGGAGATGTTAAGTTTTAAAAGCTGGAATAGCCATAATGAGTCCATTTCCA